TTGCCCCATGTTCCTCGACTGAATCTTTCAAGGTTTCGTCTTCTTGTTTGGTCCACTTGATAGCTTGCTTCTTCCCACTTGCACTGTACGGACCAGGGGTCGGCGTATGATGAGGCATCGTGTGCATTTGCATCTGTGGCATGGGTGGCAGTAGCATCGGTGGCGGCCTGGGTTCACCTGGCTTACTCATTAACTTTGAGGAMGAGCCACTGCCAGCCCCAGCGGAAGGTGTCTTGGAAGACTTCGAGCTCTTCGAAGTGGATGGCATATGTCGAGGATACGGGATGTATCCTCCACTAGGATGATAGTAGTGAGGCATAGGAGGGTAACTCATGCGGTGATGAGGTGGCGGGGCCATACCATTGGTAGGATATGGTCCTTTCGGGTAGAGATGCTGCGGTGGAGGGACTTTATCGTGGGAGTAAGGCCCTGGTGGTATCGGCATCATCGCGTACATGTGAGGAGGTGGGGGATGAGGATAGTGTGGAGTGCTATCCTTGCTTGGACGCGATTTCCCTACTTGAGTGACAGGATGAGCTTTTGGTTTCGGAGCAGGCTGCCCCTGTGTCGTTGGAGCTTTCTCCATGGTGCGAATGTCCTTGCAATCTTCCAGCTTTGGAAAACCCTACGGAATGTTGAAATACTCAATCAAGACAAATTGTAGATTGTGATTACAGRCGAGGGACAGAGTGCAGAATACAACGACGCTTTCGTATTAAGTTTGTCTTGCAAGCAGCGTATTGTACCAAAGTATCCTTTTCTATTGTTGCATCCACTAGATATGTGAAAGATGATTATTCGTTTCAGAAAGGATTTCGCGGTGCAAGGCCTCTGTGGAGTGAGAATATTTTAAAGTGTTRCAAGCTTTTAAATATTCAAAATTCATTAACATATTCAATCCCGAAGATAATTTATTTTGAATTCGTAACGGCTATTGTATCATAACGTACGTAGGTCAGACGTCGAAGCGCGCCAACCAAATTCAATGGCTTTTGATGCATCRAATCTTAMRAAACGAAAATGAGGGAGACTAAAATTAAAATCCCTTTTTTCTTTTTTCCTGTTGATACCGCTACCAGCTRATAGAAATACCGCAACGACAAGAACCACGGGTGTATTTGTGCGATTGGTTCATSCACACCTACAAATAGATAGAAAGAGAGAAAACAATGAAAGCAAAACCAGACACAGYTAATGCAACTGGAGGCGGCGGAATGTCGCGGGCCGCGAAGAAACGAGCAAAGAAGAAAAATAAAAAATCGGAAGGGAAACGACCTGCATCTGATGASCAAGGCGACGGCGATCTTTKTGGGAACAGTGGATCRATCGCTTTGTCCAAAAAGAATGAAAACGATTCATCCGGTAACAAGAAAAGAAAAACAATRATCGATGGGATTTCTTCATCCGATGTCGTTGACGTCTATGATRATACATCAGGAARACCTGCTCCTGCAGCGGCCTCCCAGGCCTCGGCAACCAAGCAAAGCGTGATGTTACCTCCCGAGATTTCAATTCCCGAAATCCTTTTGATGCAAGAATGCAAAGATGAATCAGTAAGACAGCAACTGGAATCTATGACTGCCACAAAGAGAGCGGCTTGCCTGTTTCAGGCCATTTTGGCGCCTATCAGCCTGGAAGAATTTTACAGRGACTATTATGAGAAGAAACCTTTAGTAGTGACGGCCTCGAATAAATCGAGATTTAGTAACATGCTTTCACTAGAAAGTATTAAAACATCGACGAAGAAGAATTCATATTATTACGGACGTGACTTGAATATTACCAAATATAAGAAGGGAGAGGATGGAGTGAGACGTCGAATCACCCTTGACAAAATTGGTGACGACTGCGACGACCAGGATGGCGACGAATCAAAAGGGATTGCGGTTGAGAGTTCAGAACTTTGGTCAAATTACGATCAGGGTTGCACTATTCGATTACTTTGTCCTCACAAGCACAATGATGTGATTCAATCGCTTCTGAGCACGCTGGAAGTTGAATTTCATTGCATGGTTGGAGCAAATGCCTACTTGACGCCGCCACGGTCGTCACAGGGTTTTGCCCCCCACTATGACGACATCGATGCCTTTTGCCTGCAGCTCGAGGGAAGCAAACGATGGAAGGTATACGAACCAAAGGTGAAACTTCCACGAACTAGCTCGGAAGATTTTACGTCAGAGGATCTGGAGGGAATGAAACAAGTCCTAGATATCACCCTGGAGGAAGGCGATCTGTTATACATGCCGAGGGGATGGATTCATCAGGCCTGTACTCTAAAAGATAACAAACAGYATTCACTTCACCTYACCGTTTCCTCAATGCAACAATGGGCGTGGGCAGACTTGATGGATATTGTCGTGCCCGAAGCCTTGGCTGCCGCCTCGGAGAGCGAAACATCCTCTAACCTACGAGAAGGATTGCCAGCAGGCTTCATGGACTACATGGGAGTCCAGTACGAAGAAACCGAGGTGGACAAGCTTCCCGAATCTCTCAAAAAGAGTGCGGCAGAGGAGATGGCAKCCGACAAAAAAGTTCAGATCCGGTCATTGCTTCGGGAACAGTTCCGGGAAGAAGCGAAAGAACGAATCATGGAAATCGCGAAAACCGCCTGCGAAATGCTGGACGCGTCTTGCGACGAGATGGCCAAGAGRTACATATCGGAACGGCAGCCACCCGCGCTGACCACCAGTGAGGTAGCACTCACCGCGCAGGGAGACGAAACGGCGGACGATCGGCCGCTGCTTCCGAACTCGATGGTTCGCTTGGTGCGCCCAGGGATCGCGAGGCTGGTGATCGAGGACGACAAAGCCGTCGTCTACCACTGCGCCGATAACTCCAGGGAATACCAAGGCAATCCACTCAGTCCATTAGAATTTGAAATGGACGATGGTCCGGCATTGGAGCAGCTTTTGACCACGGTGGAACCAAGGTGGATTTTCGTGAATGATTTGTTTCAYGATACCGTCGAGGACAAAATCCAAATAACTCAGGCCCTCTATGACGAGGGGATCATTGCCGTGAAAGACGCCGAAGCCGAATAAATAGGCAACTTCAAATATCCGATTCATTTTCTTTGAATGACGAAAAGCATAAATTCCAAATTCTCTTTTGCAATATTGTTTCCCAGTTGGTATAGTAATCAACAGCATTCAGGTAATGAGGTCTAATTTAGTTAATTTTCGTCTCGATAGCATTTAGCCGAACTTTTTCTTCACATCATTTGTRACATCCCACGAGACAACACAAGAATCCTTTCCAACTGAAACCAAGTTCATATCGGGCGTGTCGGTTTTAAACGACAGGGCTACGACTCCACCTCGATGGGCGAACTGGTAATGAAGGCGCTTCTTCTTTTCAATACTCCATAAATAGATCGAGTCGTCCTCTCCGCCAGAAGCAATGACCTTGTCGTCTCGAGACCACGCAAGAGCAGCGATCTTTTGAAGATGAAAGCAGAACTTTGATTTTCCGATCACCGTTGAATARTCTGCCGTCTTGTAGACACATACGTCACGAGCATCTCCTGCGGCCAACATAGTACCATCATTGGACAAAGCCAGCGAATGGACCGGCTTCAGATGGCCATCTGCGATAACGTGTTTCTCTTTGAGTTCAGACGAGTAAACATAGATTTTGCAATCGTTGCTACCAATATAGATGGTACTGTCATCCTTGGAAACCTCGATGCAGTTTGCTGTGTATTCCAGGGGAAGAATTCCGGACGAAACTTGTTTGCCGTCCTTGAGAAGGATGACACCATTCACCGTGAGAACCGCGGTGAGACTGGTTCCGGTCGAGGTAGCCACTGGCTGGGCTCCAAGATCGATTGTGTCTGATTGCAGTTTYCCGCCCTTTGTGAAGTAACACTTGTCGTCCCAACCCATGCTGAGCAATTGCGAATCCTTCAATATTGTCGCACCGGAAATGGCACCCTTGTGGATTTGGTAAGTGAGATCTTTGTTGTCTGCGGGGACAATCCGTTCGATGGCCTTGATTTCTTTCAGGTCCCATTTGCACAGGATGCCATCGGAATCTCCGGTATAAAACAAGCCATTGGCATGGTCGAACGCTACAGCACCAATGGGAGCATTGTGTCCCGTCAAAACCTCGATTTTGCCTCCATCGCCCGGCATGGGCAAGATGGAAATTTGGTTGTTGGTTGCCACCGATACGGGGATCGTCCCACCCGCAAATGCACATCCCAGTTGCATACCACCTCGGGGGGCTTTTTCGCAAGGTTCTCCCAGCATATGTTCGGCCACCTTCCAGACGTGCTTTTCTTCCACACTTGCCCCGTCCGCACTCACCTCGAAAAGCTTGCAGGTTCCATCCGCAGAGGACGTGATCAGACTTTTGTTGTCCGAGGCCCATGCGCAAGCATAGATCGTTCCGGTGTGAATGTTCTCTAGTTTGGTTTTGAGGGCAAGCTCCTTACCGTCGTAAATRCACAAGGACTTGTCGCCTCCCACCGAGGCTACAAGAGCCCCGTCCGAAGTGTAACGAACGCAATTGATGCCCTTAGTGTGAGCCGATTCGCAGGGTTTTTCGTTTTCAACACCAATTCTTTGGAAGGGAGGCCCCTTGTGGAAGTGGATTTTTCCGTCTTCCTTTCCACCGGTGGCGAGACGAAATGGACGGTTTGGTTTGAAGGCAACGGCACACGATTTGCCCTTGAGATGCTGCATGAGACTACCCTGGGTGTTTCCCGCATCCCATAAAATGACACGCGTGCAAACGGACTGCGAAATGGTTCGAAATTCGAGAAATGAACAAAACACAAAGTGTAAGATAGTGCGCGTCGCCCAAACGGAATTGAAATCCGTGGCTGGCCTAGGATGCTCCGTTGGTTTCGTTTCTCTCGGCATTCCTTACTTGGTTGTCAAGACGATCTCCCGCGAAGGCGATGCGCTTGGATTCGCCGTCCCACGAAATATCCCGCACCGTGGAACTCAGTCCCTGCTGCTCCAGCTTGCACAGGTGCTCTTCGTGGTCGAGCGCCCAGACCCGCAGCTTGCCCCTGACATCCCCCGAGCATGCGTAGGCGCCCGATGTGCTGATCTTAACGCACGAAGTTGCGTATTGATGCCCTCGGTAGACCAAGGTTGGATACTCCGAGTTTGGGAGCTTTTCTTCCGGCTTGAGCGAGCGAATGACGCAAAGCTTGCCACTGGTATACGACAGAAAGGGCTTGCCAGCGCTGATGCGGCCACTTTGTCCGTCCAGAACACAGGGCTCTCCTCGCACCGTGTTGGGCAATGAAGGAACCTGTGTCACCACAGGATATGCGACAGGGATGCAGGCGTTCGATGCCGAGACCATTTTGTTGGGAATATGATTCGATTGGAGTTTTCAAYAGTAGATAGTGAGAAACCAAGGCTTCAACTTTTTGATCTTGGTTCCTTAGAYGAAGAAACGACTGGAACTATTTTTTTCTACTGTATTGCTTTTCGATCGATTTTTCATTCATCATGTCCGATGCAGAGGTCATCCTGTCATCTCGATGAGAAGGCACACTTGTACCKGTGGTACACTAAGTAACGGTAATATTTTTGAACTTCAGAAGATTGGATCGTGGTCATTTYGAATGTTGGAAAGGGGGGCGATGGGAAAAAAGTGAWTGATCTCCCTTTGATACAGTACCATTTTCAAAATACATGACTGRAACTTCGATCTAATCACGAGTTGTTTCTTATCGCCGAAATACCGATGTTGTCTTTCTCTCCCGTACCGGTACGTATGTTCTGTGTGTACGAATTAWTTTTTAGTTTGAAAAGAAAACGAAAGGAAAATGAAAAATCTGAAAAGTAGCTTGTGATGKAACGTTGTGACATGGTGTTATCAACGGTTACACTACGCTGCAAGAAATAACATTGCGCCGCCAGATGTGACCAGCTGTCAGATCAAAAAGATTSTCAGAATAGTGTAGGCGGGATCGCAACAGAAAGAAAAATGGCTCCTTCGAGACCTGGATTCGACAATCGGGATTTGTCGGCCAAGAATGCATCGTTTCGTCGAACCGCCCCGATGTGGTACTCGTTCGTGGCCGTTTGCGCCCTTTCGGTTCTAACTTACGGTAACATTTTTTGGARCATTCCTTCCTTCGTGCCATACGCTCTTATCGGCAAGGACCACTATTCCATAGACCAACAGGACCGTGCCCTTGGCCATCATGTGTCGTTGTCGTCAAACTCTACGAATGAAATTTATGGCGTTCCGCGAGAACAAGATCGCTGCGGGATTTGGATGGCTCCCTCGTCCCTGCGTCCGWTTCCGGGTAGGTTTTCAAGAACAGGCGGCAACTGGAGGGGTACGGAACGGTCGATGGATTCATTCCGTCCCTGACCTGCCGTGCACATTGCCGCCGTTTCGTGCAGCACAACAACTACTATTGTTTATTGCTCACACAGTCTCCCGATGTATTCTCGGTCTCTTTGTTRCCACCTGCGCACTGCGTGCTTCGGCCTCCCGAAAGGCTACGGAATATTTACGACGCGAGACATCGACCAGGGCGACTCGATCCTCCGTGCTCCGGATGCGGTTTCGATCCCTCTCCGCGACATGAGACGCCGCAACACGCACTTGCCGCTCGACAAGGAACGCCGGCGAATGTGGCACAACGTATTCGCCAATGTGAGTTGAGTATGGAAAAACGCTACAGTGGGTGCATGGCACGCGGTGCAGATCGTTCCGGATATGTCCTGCCGTACACAAAAACGAAACCGAAAATCTCTTTTGTTGAATCATGCCGTGTTGTGTGTTCCTTGTTGGATCGCTGTGTAAATGCTAAATTTGTGCTTTCTCTCTGTTTTCCATACCGCGAACACCTTTCCCAATCCCAATCAATCAGTACGTGTGGGCGCATGGTATGCCGGACCACAGGTAAGTGTASCTTAAGGTTCTCGTTCGAGGGCTGCMATATCATTGCAAGCTTGCAGCACGGACGAAGTGAAACAACCAACTCAATTCAATTTAAATCAGCTAATAAAATCCAAATCTGTTTCAACATTGCAGTCGGTACGACCATCCCCCAGACACGGTTGATTTTCAGCCAGGCTTTGGTTCGCTTCCGAATCACCATTGTGTGCTTGAATCATTGGGACAAGCACCTGCCCGTGTCTCGCCATACGACGATGGACTACTGGACTCCAACCACAGCGACAGCAGTAGTGGAAGAAAAAGCCCGGGAATTGGTGCCTTCTCTTACCATCTTGGTAGAGATTTTTATGCAAAGCGGGATCTAAAAGCGGGGGAAGAGATTGTGAGTTCTAAGGAATATATGGTTGCTGATTCATTTTCATTGTTGAAGTAGCGAAAAAAACCTAAATACATTAGAGGTGCTCACCTTTACTGTTGATTGGCTTGTTAATTTCCAGTTCCTCAACTATGGTTATTGTCGACGCAACAAACCAGTAAACAAGAAAAGAAGTGAGGACGCTAACATTCCTTGGCATCAGAAGTTCATATATCCAGAAGATATCAAAGAAGCGGCAAGGRTTCTACAACTGTATGAACCATTTGGATCAAAGCCGTGGCCGAAGGGAAAGACAACTGCTGCCCTATTAAACGTCATCGCTGAAGAATCATTGTCATCTCCAACAGATCTTACACAATATTCTGATCCGCAGTTTGTTCTATCTATTCTGAAAGAAGTCAATGATCGTTTTGATCGCCAATCATTGTACGATACTGTAAAYAAAATCAATGTACAGTCGAAGGAGAGTCTAGCGAAAATGATGGGTCATCGCGTCGTCCACAAGAGTGATTCATATGATACYTTAGCAACGAAAAAGTTGTGGTTCGAACTGTCAAATCTTTCATTGAAGCGGAGGGATCCAGATTGGATTAAGGGYAATGGGCTTTGCTTAGAACACCTAGTCCCAAAGAAGAGTACTTTGCCCAACGCGGGCTTCGGTGCATTTGCTCAATATGGAGTTCGAAAAGACGAAATTRTTGTTCCAACACCAGTCTTACACGTTGTAAACAAAAAAACTCTGAGTTTATATCGTCAAAGTATTGCAGGCGATGAAGACATTCGTCTACTAAAAAACAATCCCGAGTCTTTCAAAGTTGGTACATCTCTGCTACTGAATTATTGTTTTGGTCATCCTAGGAGCTCTATGTTGATGTGTCCAATGACCAGCWCCATGCTTATTAACCATTGCAGTTACCGCACCAAAGAATGCGGTCCAAAAGGACCAAACGCAGAGGTACRGTGGTCTTCTGGTTGGGATCCGGCATCCCACGAATGGCGAAATAAAACCATTGAGGAAATAGATCATCAAATGGGAAGGATTCTTTCTCTCGAGATCATCGCATTGCGTGACATTGCACCTAACGAAGAAGGTTTGTATAATCAACAAAAATGACTTTGCTGTTCTTCTTTTTTTTGTGCGAGACTCACACTTACCTTGTTTGGAAACCTTCTCTTTCTGGATCGTAAACTTCGACTGCAGTCTTCATTGACTATGGCATCGAATGGGAAAACGCATGGAGCGAGCATGTCCGTYGGTGGAAACCTCCGGACGAAATCCGAAACTTTGTCTCTGCAACGCAAGCTAATTTGCGGGAAGGACCTATTTTGCATGATCTTATGTCGAATGATTTGCGCAAAACAGTACATCATCCTTATTTGTTCACAGGATGCCAATATGATGCTCGCCCTGATGTTGAGAACATAGGGAACTATACGAAAAGATGGAAAGGTAAATGGAAGCAGCTTTCGGACCAAGAAATTCTTGAAAAATTTTCTGCCCCGGGAGCTGATTTCGTCTACCAAGGCAAAGAAGGATATAAAGGACACAAGGAATTCAGTCATTGGCCATGTTCAGTTCTATACGCCGAAAAARAARAGGGTCGATATACAGTCAGAATTCATATGAGTCCATTAAAAGATGTCGAACCACATGATACTTCCTGGAATAGAAACGAAGTGCCGCGCATCCTCACCAACTATTCGCAAGAATCAATTCACTACTTTGTGAATCCTTCAGCCACAGATCAAACTCTACCGAACGCTTTTCGTCATGCTATTGGATTCCCTGAAAATCTCTTTCCGAAGCAATGGGAAAATTTGGGTTGATTGTGTATCAGACTGGTTGATGTACTGGAAGACAAAGAAGGACCACTTTGACACCGATTGTTGTGCCCTATTTTGCAAATAAATTTTTATCACATTCGCTCTTCTAATGACACCTGATGATTAGGGAAAAATAAGGAAAGAATATTATTAAATGGCTGAAAACGAAGTTTGCGATATCATAGAATCAAAACTATGAAAGTTCAWGCGGTATTAAATCCATCGTGTTACATCCTTGGTGATAAAGATGAGTTGCTTTGTCACCTWGAGGYAGGTATGGCTTCAATCAAGTTGCATTACTCGCAAGTGCTATGGTTGTGCAGGTTTTGTATCTCGACTAAGTGACGATTCTCTTAGAAGAGATTTCCAGCAAGGTGCCGTATACAGGTTGCATGTGCCATGTACTGACACGGTAACAAACCGAGAGGGAAGAACGATATGGAAAGACGTAGTTGCTWTTGTCAAATGAGTCTATTTATTGTGTTATGTACTGTCACTTCTAGAATATAAGTAAAACAAGAGGTTCGGTATTCGCAATCATCGAACGACCTTATGATTTCTTTTGGCCATAGCAATGCTAACGCGTTCATTCGGCTTTCGATTGCTTTCTTCAGACGATWWTGTACCCGACGGCARGTCAAAATCAAATTCCCATTCCAGACCGACGGTCTTTCCAGCAGTGACGAGAAATTCCTTTGTTGAAGACGGTAGACTGTAACTAATAAGAAGATACCGYCCTGTTCCCAAAGATAGAACCTTTGCCGATTCATACAGTAATTTTTCTAACGGACCGTCCCAACCCTCGCCACAGAGAATGGCATCCGTAAGTCCTTTGTCAATGATGATATCAAATAACACCGATTCCTTGCTGACGTTGTTTTGCGCACATTGGTTTTSGTCAGTCATTCTTTCAGAGGTTCGGTTGTGACGCTYGTCGTTCTCATCATCAGTAACAAAGTACTTGGAAAGTTGGGTTGCATCTCCACAAATATATTCTACTTTTGTACCGCAAGTGGCGGTATTGCCATCAATGCTATCGCTGCCGTCGACAGCACTTATCGTAATCTGAAATCTATCGCGCAATTGATCCAAGCATGCTTGAGATGTATCTAAGAGAGCGAGTGATCGAGGAGGCGCGTCTCGTTGTAAAATTCGGTCGGGTAGATATGAGTTGCCACATCCAATGAGAAGGCACGTTCCGTTGGATGGAATAGTCGACGCGATGTCATCCAGAGGAACACTGGAATGCCATTCCGTTGCTATTTTCGTCACTGTATTTTCTTTGTCGTTTTTTTCTATTCTCTGGTAGAATCTATCCCATTCTGCCGGAGAGGCGAAATCAAATGAASTAAACACTGTCGTGGGCGTAGTAGACTTTATCATACATTCATTGAATAGAAACGCGTTGCCCCCTAATGGTTTCACCAAGATGGAAAGCGCTCCGAGGGCTGCCGTTGTGGAAAAGAATAAYAATTGTATGGATRCTATCATTTGAACTTGTGGATTGAAAATAATTCTCTTCTAGCCTGTCATCCATTCGTGTGCTATTTAAGTGACACTGGCTGATCATCGATGATGGAAAAGTCGGTATGCAGAGGATAGATGGGGCTATGGTACGTTGTCCCATCAGAATTCTAAAAAATCTGAATGAATGTGAATCGATTCATCGGCGATCTACAACTGGATCTTCGACAACAAATCGGAAATCGGATTTTGAGATCCTAAAGGTAGGCTACGTATGTACTRCCAAGTTCATACATGCGTACTAGGCTAGATCACGGACGGGAGTTAAATGAGCTACTTTACTTTTTTGGTAAATTATGAAATTTTGGATTCTCGAAAACTCCRAAGTTGGTGAACTTTGGCAGGAACAAAGATCCAATCAAAGTGAGCGATGACTGGAACATTAGGGAATCAATCGTCGTCCGGATTAAGAAACACATGCGTTCGAAACGGTGGATCGAATACGTGTTACGTACGTTAATGTCAATCTACGGGGGGGGGTTAGAAATTCGGTTTTTTGTACGGGTACTACAAGTGAACACAAAATACTAACACGCGTGGTAGGCCAAATACGTGAGATGTCAGAGTAGAGTACGACATCATCCTTGTAGACCTTTACCAATTTAGTACCAAGATAGTATCATRAAAAATCCCTGTTGTAGAAATGCGTTCGGATAGAGCGGAATTATTTTAGACTTCTTTCCGTTCCGTCGCTTGTTTACGTTRCTGCAGGTGCAACATCTTCTTYTGAAACTACTCACGCAAAAGCTGYCAGAGGTAGAAGGACCCTTCGTGTCTATATTAAATTTCGTCGTGTAGATTCACCCAAAGACGCGCCACGATGATCGCCGCCCGACATGATTCAGTTGTTTTCTGTATGATGGAATTATTCGTGCTGGTTGCGTTATTGTTGCCTGGAGTCAGAGGTGGATTCATCGATATGGATACACCCCTTGACAAGCGAACTACAATATCGCAAGTCGATAAAACGGTGTATCATTTGGTAGGTCTCTTATTTTGATGCCGGAATGACCGAGTTCAATCGCATCATCTTCTTCTTGCTCACAAARCTGGTAATGGTGATAACTTTGGTTCAATCGCTCTCACCGTCATTTTCTTGTTTAGGTAATGTCGGATGAATTCAACACACCAAATCGTAGTTTTACCGATGGCCATGATTCAGTCTGGACTGCACTAGATAAACCTGATGATGATTCTTCGTCAGCTGGAGGCGGTTCTCAACAGTTCTACAATTCTAGCTCTGTGACAACAGACGACGGTTATTTGAAAATCTCAACTACTATTGGCAACACGGAGTGGCGGAGGKATGATCCAGTCAAGAAAGAATACAAAGATGAAAAGGCATATTTTAAGTCAGGCATGCTTCAATCMTGGGAAAAGTTTTGCTTCACAGGCGGAATCCTTGAGGTTGACATTATTCTTCCAGGGGACCCCTTCATTGCTGGACTTTGGCCGGCAGTTTGGATGCTTGGAAATTTGGGGCGGGCCACTTACGAGGCATCGACGAACAATATCTGGCCATGGTCTTTTGATACATGTGATCGAAAATTACAACCTGCGCAGGCAATATCGGCATGTAACGAGCAAAACCACTACGGCATGCACGCCTTTCAGGGTCGGGGAGCAACAGAAATTGACTTGATCGAAGTCATGACTGGAGATTCTGATGGACCGTTGCCTGGAACTGATCCACCTGTTGGACTTCCATATGGCGATATGACACTGCAGGTGAGTTTTTTCACCAGTKTCTTTAATCTGTGACCGAGTAGGAAAGTTGACTTCAAGATTACAGAACTTTGAGCTCAGTTAATCTTTTCCATTTTGCCCACTCTATTTTACCATTCAAATTCTCACGCGCTTTTCTGATTAGGTTGCACCCGGAGTCACGAAAAATAGACCGCAATGTTGCTCGGTTCCATTATATGAGTCGACTGTTTCAGCCAATGGGCACACGGAATATTTGGCCAATACTTGGTATGAGGGCCTGGAGATGCACGGAAATACCACTATCAATCCCTTCTTCTATGGGACTTATATGGGCGAAACAAAGCCTGGCGAACCTGTAACGAGAACAAAAGAACAAGCCTTTCAGGCAGATGCTGTCGGAGTAGCACATCAATTGACTCGGGAGCACTTCCGAAAGCTTCACACCTTCCGGGTCGAATGGCAACCCGGTAGGGGTGGAAGRATTGACTGGTTTGCTAAGAAAGAACGCAAAACCGATTCATCAAGTACCAGCGAAGGCGATGAGTCCGAGGACGAATGGTTGCATGTGTATGGAATCAAAGACGATTCTTTGGAGAACCTAATGGGTTCCCAAATACCTATCGAACCCTCTTATTTGATTTTGAATACTGCAGTGTCGTCGACATGGGGATTCCCGATCGCGCCTGACAACTGTGAGAAAAAGTGCTTCGATTGTGAAGATCCGAAATGCAGTTGTAATTTTCCACCCGGTTTCTGTAAAATGCTACGAGAGACCGAGGTCGCCATGTACGTCGATTCGATTCGAGTATACCAAAGTCGAGAYCCAGACGCACACGTAGGTGCCAACCACACTGTTGGATGCGACCCAGTAGATTATCCTACAAAAGAATGGATCAAGGGACACAAATACCAGTACATGAGAAATGCTCCTTTCTCGTACGAAGACCACGGGATTCCATTGAAGAAAGTCCAAACAGGAGGAGGAAAATGTGAAACCGACAACGATTGCGGTGGACATATTTCGAGCGTCAATTTAACCGAAGCCTACGAGGGCGGAGAGACCGAAAGGAATTTGGAAAGCAATGTTAGAGATACCGATCCGAAAGGTCGGGGAAAATGCGTTTCTCGGTCCGAATTTAGCAGTCCTCTCTTCAAAGAATCATCGGGCGCAAAAAGTGTTTGCAAGTGCAACCCTGGCTACACCGGACCTCAMTGCCTGGCTCAAAAGCACGTCGACGATACCACCAGCGCGTTCGAGGAGAAAATGAAGAAATCGGTTTTCAACTCGGTTCCCAGGATTTACGTATCACCAGTCTTGCTTGTTGGACTAGCGGGCATCCTCGCGATCGCAATCTTTTTTGCCTGCAAGGTGGCGGGCATGAAGAGACGCGAAAAAGAAATGGAAAGGGAACTATCGAAGCTGAGGTGAAAGGAATGGTAATGTGAATGGTCCGCAACCAATGTCACTTTTCCTTTGTATTTTCTCCAACTCCAAGTGGGACGATTGGATTGGATATCATCTCGTCAGAATGRACGTTTTATTTGGCGCAATCAGCGATGCTATTATGATGTACGAACAGCTCTTGAATAACAATAGATCTTCTTGCTAAACCGAATCCTGAATTTTCTCAACTAGTTTGTGGTGAATGAAAACATGTGTTCRATACGAACATGAAACCATAAAGTCAGCCTTGCTCTTCATAGATAGTCTATGCCTATCGCATTCTACAATCGCGTGATTCCCAGAGACGAGTACGTATCGCATCCGRGWAATCAAAAAATGGAACTCAATCGAATCRYAGGTCGACAAGGTCACTRAAACATTCCCACATTGTAACTGAACCACGAATGCATCTACTTCAGGCCTTTGAGACAACCATGCAACACATGAAACTCAATATTGTTCTGGAGTAAACGACCACGGTYTCAAATTGGCTACTCTTCAGTACGGTACTATACTACAGCGAAATTTAGAMGGAACGAGAKAAAATGRGATCGACGAAGCGCTTAACTTTCCTTTCTTKTCGGTTGTGCGGTGGTTGCCCATCACCGGCTTTTTTGGCCCTCCGTGGCTTGGTCGTTCACGGAAGATACCCGGAATCCTCGCTGCCGTTGAATCTGCGGCTTTCCCTCGCGAAAACTCGTTCGCGACGTTCGTAACGATCCAGCAGCAAATCAACGAATGCTGTAGCAGTCTCGTTGTTGCTTTGACACGCAGAACGCACTATCTCTTCCATAAGCCTGGAGGGATCTCTKAGGATTTTGTCGTCAATCTCGATATCATCAACATTCTTTGTCTCCGGTGGGAYACCAACAAGGTTGTTGCTKTTTGTAGGCTTGCTTTCTTCGTCAAACGTTCTTTTSTTTGCCCCCGCCTCCTGCTCRTGCTGTTGCTGTTGCGAAGRYATGGAAATCTGGGATTCCCGCAATAGATTCTCGTCGTCSCGTTCCTCCGGTTGTGTTTGGACTTGGTGCTCGTCCCAGTGGGTGGTCACGTGGATCTCGGCAGCGCTGTCGTAGCGGTCGTCAACTGCGCTGTTTTCGTGGTGATCGTCGTCGATCGAATGCAACGTCATGTCGGCTTCACGCTTTCCTTCGCTAACGTTGTCACGGGGCAGTGAGGACAACCGYTGTTGGGTTTGCTGCTGTTGTGCATCTTTTTTTTKGGGSCGATAATTTGGTCTTCTCTTGCGACCCATTCGCAGAATGAAGATCGTTGCTGCTGCGGCGGTTGTCGCAACCCGAAGCAACCCCACGCCACAAGAAACTCCGACAGCTGCCGAAAGCCTGTTGGTTGGTTGGGGACAAGGCAATGCAACAACGGTCAGAGGGTCGAATGAACGTGACTAACAACGACAACAACTGCATTCAATGCTTTTTGGCAGTCGGTATTGTCGTTTGCCAAACTCTTTTACGCGCAATCCAATCCTCTTCTACTCACCATATTGTGGCCGCCGTTGTCAAGCCGTGAACGACGTTGCTTTGGTAGAGATTTCCAGAAGCATCTCCCTTGTTCGGTTTGTGGATCGAGGTGGTGATCACGCCTGCCCCCACAAACCCCACTCCACTGGCAACATTGGCTGCCATGCGGGAGGCTTCGTRCCAGAGAGCAAACAAGAGAAACAAAGAAACACCAACCGTTAGACATCAACCAGTACCTATGATCCGAGTCGCCAGCCCAAAGCCGAACCACAACAACGACGGGACCGAGCGAGCGGGCGAGCGACGAGGCACTCGTTCGTTCGTTCGTTCCGTGGTTTCCTACCGTACGTACCGTCCACCTTTGGAAAGTTCGTAAAACCGTAGCAGCTGCACACCGTGAATATGGCGGCTCCCATGCTCACCAGGCTCATGGTTCGGACCCCGGCACTGTGCTTCGCAAAGGACCGTTCCTTCCCCAGGGCGGCCCCCACCAGCGCCGCGTAGACCAGCCGGACCATGAGCCGGAACTCCACCTCCGGCGAAACGGGGCACACGAGGCTCGTCGTCGTCGCCGCCGCCACCGCCGCCGCCGTGGCGTCCGCCGCTCCGGCCCGGGACGGAAACGCGATCGCTGCCGCGGCGACCAGAACCAGCGGCAGCGCCCGCGGGGGAAGCATGCTCCGGAGCGCTTTTCGTGCCGGGCCGATGGCGGTGCTTTCGCTGCTGGTTGGTCTCTCGGAGAGGGCACAGCGGTTCGGGATCCATTCTCGGTTCCTTCCCAGAGGCGTCTGCTTCTGTCCCGGAAGGAACGAAAGCGACGATGGTGGAAGGCAATGACAATGCATTTGATTTGTCTTCGAGGATCGTATTTTCACGGTGCGTTGGTGCTCGGTGAGAGGAAACCCGCGTTGCAGAACCGATGGCATTGGATGCCATGCGTAGGAAGCCGTCGTCGAGAAAGACAACAACGACGCAACCAGCAAACAGGACAGGCCGGGAAAAGGCGGAGTCGATCGTTTCGGCACGATCCGTCCTCCTTCTCCGGTTGTTTTCGTCACCATCGCGATCATTTCGAGTTTTTTCTCATCGGAAACACCGGCGTTGCGATGGGGTGCATGCAATGGGGTTTGTCTTTTTTGCTTTTTCTCGTTGCGGCGATTGCGAAACTATCACAAATAAATGGTACCGCAGACCGCGATCGCTGCCGCACATCAAACGTTTTTCGAAAACGAGAATCTTCGGCTTTGTCCGGAGAAGTGGRKAGCATTTGGACAGATTCGAGTCCTTTYTGATGGTGATGGTTGAGTTCGTGTCTTTCTATTCTGCGATTTGGAGCGGAAGAAACAGACAGGGGGCAATATTCGCCACTTCGTGAAACGTCGACGACACGTTCTGATTGGGTCCAACTTGAAGAAAGTCTTGCAGCTGCCTTCGGCAAAATGGTTCAACGGTGARCGGTAAAGTCTTGTGGATATCGCTACTTGTTACTGTATTCATACTCTATTAACATATGGTTCTAGATATACTAACATATGAGTAAGGAGTRGGTCGGCTGTCGGCTGGTCCTGGGCTGGTCGTTGTTCAGGACTGGTTCAGATTCAGATTGTTCTGTCCGGCGTCCTTGCAAACAAAATTCTTSACAGCTTGTCCATAGATTTAGCGTCGCTGCTACGGTAGTATGGATCGTACTCGTACCGGTACGTACCTTCTGACAACCCCCATCACTATCTCGATCTTTCGATGTTCGTACCTTACGTGCAATGCCCGTRATTCGTATCGACTGGAGTGTCCGCATCCCAATCTTACATTATCGACCACACATCATTTCCRGGTGTCTTCCCCAACAACACCGTTGTTACTACCACCATGATGCGAATCGAAAAGTGGAAGAGCGATATTGAWGACAAAGGGACGATGGCACGAACAACGTTGCCAATTTGAGTCCGAGTCGGCTTCGCGAGGTACAAAGGTAAGCGCGAGCCCTACCGGCATTGGTGCATTCGTTGCGGTGGTGGTGTTCGCAGGCAGGTGCTGTCTCGCCCATGCCGTGCCTTYTTTGCAACGGAACCACCGGTGCAAAGCAAAAGAGACCAACGGCTGCAAGTATTAGAGTCGCCTTCCTGAATTTTTCTTCCGTTTCAGAGAACGGTGCTATCTTCGGCCAACACGAACGTCAAGGGAGGAGGCACGTGGATTCGGCACCCGTGTGCATTAGTTTGTCGCGGGGGTCGGGCTGAAGCGTCTGCCGAATCTGGATCTACTACAGTTTCAATTCAATACCGGGGGACGGTTTGTCCACGAAACCGAATGGAAGGGAATGGAACGGATCTATACTCACCCAATCCTTGTTCCGTTTCCTCAAACAGAATTCGATCCMATTCCGTTGTGTCAGAGCCGCTGAAAGAACCCCGCACAACCGACACAATGTCATTTCTTTGCAAGTAAGCTTTGGCAGGTGAAGTTGATCGCCCCTCTGTTCTGCAATCCACCCAAAACTTCGAGTGGGCCGTCGTATTCCGATTCGGGAACAAAGCTCCCCCCCCCAAAACGAAAGTCTTTGCCACAACCCAGGTATGCCGTTATGCAGTTTCTTTGTAACCAGAGCAGTTACAGATCCGTTAGATGCATTCAATGCACTGGGCTATGAATCGAAGAATGGCAACGATGGATGCTCACCACTCTGGGAGCCAGCCAAGTCAAGCACATCCACGGTAGGCCAACAGAGAAAAAGAAACCTCTCATTTGTCCCGTAATGCACACAGTTACAAAGAAGACATCTTTTGCTTTCATTGCCATAGGAATCGCATAAACCTTAATACTGTGTAGCGTATAATTAATAAACTGCAGGCTTTGGAATTCCTGATCGTTTCATGTTACTACAACTATTTACGCCAATGCCCCCCGATAGACTTTCAATATCATCAAGCTTGCGATTCAACTATTCTGCTTCTTCCCTTGATGTTTTCCTATATATCATTATGATGCTATACTGCAATCGTTAAATATTTGCGATCGATTCAATTTTTGCTTTCTCTGTTTCTAAATTCATCGGTACGGTGTCCGTCTCCGGGCACCCTCGCCGTTTTTGCTCGGCACAATCAGCGGCGGCGACTGGTAGGACGACCCTCCTCCGTCGTACTGATCCCGAAAGCCAGCCTGTGCCGGGGTGTTGGGGCTTCGGAGACCGGCGCTTCCATCAAACCTGCCGGGGGGAGATCCCATCTGGCTGCCGGGCGAGAAGAAAGATCCGTTGGTCCCGTTTGCGGCCCCGCTTGTTCCGTTTTGACCGTTGTAGCCGGAGAGAGAAAGGGATGCCGTTGGTGGCCTCGGTGTCGATGCCGGGTTGCCTGCGCCGGCACCTTGGGTTTGTGCTGGCATTGCTTGCTGCCTCGGTTCCGGTGCCGTCGCCAGAACCATCTCGTCGTTGATCCCGTTGTAATTTCCGTAGTCGTAGTTTGTGTGCGCCTTGGGGTTGAAGATGAGCGTCAATACCCAGCGCATCACGTACAAGCATACCGCGGCGACAAACGAAAGGACCATCATAGGGACAAGCTGTACCGGAAAGAAGTCTTCCAAGACAAGCAGCAGCTTGTAAACAAAGTTGTCGTCGCCGAGTTGCCGGCAGGTTTCCGACAAGCTGGTGCAAAAGGCGGAACAGGATGTGCCGTCGGGGATGTCCGTTTCGGGGCAGGAACAAGCGGGGCATGCCGGGCAACTTTTCGCATCGTTGGAACTGGCGGTGTTCCGGCGGGATCGATTGGTAGCCGCCTTGTTCTCGGCATCCCATTTCTTTCGTTCGGCCTTCACGGCGTTGTCGATGGCACGTTTCGTTTTTCGTTTCTCCTCGTTGGCCACTTCGTCTCGGATCTTCTTCTCCAGGCCGAACAAGCTGACCTCTTCCAAGACTACGTCGCGGTAGAYCGTCGTTGCCTCGTTGCCCGCGTCGTCTTTGACGTCATAGGGGACCACCCAGTGCAAATGCGACCTCTGGATCGGATCTCCGATGACCACACGGCCCGAAAGATCCACGTCGCCCTTGTAGGTCTTATCGATYGCCTTGAAGCAGTCTGATGCCTTGACGCGRGGGTTTTCATGCGTCGCACAAAGCTCGGCGCCGGCCGTTGCCCGAATCATTTCCCGGATGTCTGCCTCCAGATTGGCGGAAATTTGTTTCTTCTCGTCAGCCCTGTCGTTGATGCCTCTGCCAGAGTACTCATTCATGACACCGCTCAGACCACCACCATACTTTGCAATCCGAAATGTCTTGGGATTGGGGCCTTTCAGAGTAATCTCGGGCTTGGACGTATCGGTACAAGACGTCCCGCCCTTGAAAGAGGACGGGATCGGATAACTGGTATCGCTTGCATCRAACTCGGCCGATTTSAGGAAACCGTCGCCACTGGTTCGAGTGGGGCACTTGCAGGCGTAGCTTCCTACMGTGTTGATGCACTTGGCCCCGGCCTCTGTGTCACACTGGGGTATGAGCTGCGGACAGGTGGCTTCGATTCTTTTGAGGATCTTGGTATTGGACAAGACGGCGCACTCATCAATGTCTTCGATGATTACTCGACGAGTGATCCGAACGTATGGCGGGTTCGCCCACGGCATGGCCACGGTGTAATTGACGTGGAATTCTCCCACATCCAACAAACAGCCCGGCGGCAAGGGYTTGCTGTAGGCCACCTTGAGGCTTCGAAGATAGTCTTCGGCGTTGTCATCCACAATGTCCACCATGTGCTCTCGGTATTCGTCGCCCTGTTTCAATCTGAGAGTCTGGTCTCCGTGGCGATCGTTTCGCAGTTTCAGRGTGGGGGGGCTSACGTCAACGCAGCCGTATGTTTCGTGGTGGATGTAACCCGGTCGACAGGCGCACTTGGGTTTCTCGTCTACCACGGTACAGACCTCATGCTTGCCTTCGCATGGAGGGAATCCACTGCAGACATCGATCTTGGGTCGGGTACACCCGCAATAGAAGTTGTTTTTAATGGTCAACGCGGTGGGTGTTACCCCGTCAAACATCACCATCGGTTTTGGCTGCGGATCGATCCCCGGCCTGCAGMTTTTTCCGTTGCCCATAAGGTCCTCGGGGCACTGACAGGTGTAGAGGTGAGCAGATGGCGACGACGACCCCGATGAATTGTGCTCCTCGGTCGCAATACCGTTGGGGGATTCCGCGCGGACGCAGGTTGCCGAGGAATCACAATCGTGGATCACTTTGCCGGTAGTTCCGCAGGGATCAACGGGGCACCGAAACCGCTCCCGGCAACGCTTCCCCTCGGTGGAATGCGCATTGCGGGGGCAGCAATCCCAGGTGTCTGGCAGCCATGGACAGGAYGTCTTTGCGGCCGACGAAAACGAAACTTCCCATTCGTTCAGGTCGCTGTCCTCGTGGCTGGTCGACAGACGAGGGCACGCACACGCATAGGATCCATCGGTGTTGACGCACTCCGTCGAGGAATGGCAGGTGTGGCTCATCGGATGGTCCGGGGGGAGGGAGCACTCGTCGGTGTCGGTGATTTTGAGGGGGACGTGGAAGCACCGAGAGGTSACATCCCGACCGAATTCGTCCTTCCGAACGTCGAATCCGGGTTCGTGTCCGCTCCCGGTCAATCGCGTGACCCGGGTTTCGATCAAGTGCTCGCCTACGCGGCCATGCAATTCGGCACCCGTCCATTCCACCTCGACGTCMACGACGCCATCTAGGACACGGTTGATTTTCTCCACCACTACCGGAAGCTAACATTCGTTCGTTTACAGTCACATACGACCAATGCAATACAGTCAAATTCAACCCAATAAGGTGCRATGCGATTCAGTAGGGATCATTCCATTCAATCCAGTTGTCGTTTTTGTTTGATTTAATCACCAAAAAAAAAGTGAGCATTTCCCGCATGGTAGGTTGTGCACAAGGTAAAGAACGAGTTTCCAAGCTCGTATCGGTGCACGAGCAGCATTTACAACAGCAACACCATCAATGGCAGCATGGCTGGGATGGTACGTACCACGCTTGAAAGATCGCGGGGAGCTTCTTCTTGTGTAAACATMAGGGTCGCCTGGAGGCGCTCGCAGCTCTTGGCCGTTTCCGATGCTCCCGCAAGCGAACACSACCCCAATGCGGAAAAGATCGACGCTGTCATCCAGAGCGCGCGGGGCGTCGCCGCCGTTGTTCGAGCAGACCGCGATTGCGACCGTGGATACGAATTGGAGGTAGGCCGAACCATTGTCTGGAACAAATACTCCTGTAGAATAGAATGAAACGAAGCGAAATGAAACAACGCCCTGCGTTTGTTTCGAATCAAMGATGGTGTTGTTGCCGAGGCGGTAGCGATACGAATTGTATTCCCTCGGTCTTTCGATTCGATACCAACTACGGTGCTATGTTGGTGGATGGATTCAATCGGCAGAATATTATTACCGGTTGTGCGATGCTCTAAGGCACTCGTATCGTGTCGTTCGGTGTCGTATGGTGTCGTACGGTACGTTCGGTACGGGATGATTCTGTCACCCCACAAGTCAAAGCTACCGGTACAAAAACTAAGCGCGTTAAGATTGATGATGCTTGTTTGCGGAGCTGCGAGAATTTCGTACGGTATTAGTCCGAGTAGTACTCGAACCAATCTTCCGCAATTTTTGTTGGTCGAGCTCTCTCCGACTTACATTTTTTGGTTGAACAGTTTTCAAAACTTTGGGGGATGATCCTCACCTATTTTGATGATAATCTTGCTCACTGCGCTRGAATCGAATGAATCAACCTTTTTTCGACTAAACCTCAACCCTATTGTTSAATGTTCRACTGCTGCAAGTGGCATGCGTGCAAMAGTGGTCCATTCTTGGTTCTTASTGAATGGCACGTGTACCATACCGATTTYGTTGACGGCAAGCATCATTTTTTATCGTTTGATGGGACTCGGATCGGCATTCGCACCCGTGCTTGTGATAGATTTAACGTTAGGGCAACAGCCAGTCGGGCTACATCTGTCGGATGGGCGTAAACACATGACCGTTCATGGGGTTCGGTCGTGCCTCCGAAATCGATAGGAATAAACTAGGACTTTGCCGTTCGACAAAAATTTGAAAGTGAGTTGAAAAACAATCTGTTTGAATTGAGCAATGAGTAAGGTATCGTACGTAGTGTGTTTTCTACCGTACGGTACGATAACGTACTTTTAAAAGTTTTCAACTAACAACCGTTTTCAAAGMCATTGCTTTCTATTGTTTACAACGAGACGAGAAACCCAGGGGTTCTCAACTATACGGAATCAATAAAAAGTGCTMGTGGCAGTCTTATCCCCACACCATCGAAGTAACACAATCGAAGTAACACAACAGCTCGGACTGGATTTTCTGATCGAGGACAGAAGAAAGCCATTCCTCTCGAACCTTTCGACTTGCGAGTAGAGTGCAAACTGAATCGAGCAGAGCAAAACAGAATAGAGGAATCACATCGGAACTATCGAGATGACACTGCGCGCGCTTCCCAGAGGGAGACCGACGTCGAGGATAACGGCAATGYTCCGACTATTGGTCGCCAGCATTTTGTTGTCGGGTGGTATTCTGGTCTTTCCCTCGTCGACGACACCGTCGGGCACTTGCATGGTGATGGCGCAAAAGAACGGCAACATCAAMAAAAGGCAGAATGACAAAAACAACGATAAAAACAATAATAAGAATAATGATAAGAACAAYAACAAAAACAACGACAARAACAARRACAACGACAAGAACAAAAACAAGGAGACCGAATCCCCGACTCYGGAGCCAACTACMTCTCCCACGCAAGTTCCTACCCAGTTYCCCACGGACTCCCCGACTARWTATCCCACCGGCACCCCAACRGCGAGKCCTACGGGATCTCCAACCGTGAGACCGAGCTACCTGGCCGTTCTCCCCCAGATCACGTTTGATATTGTGACAGTGGTAGACGATGTCTTTGCCTTTGCAACACTTCTCGAAAAAAGCAACAAGGACGAAGACGATTTACTCAACACTTTCTTTACGGACTTTCTGGCGCATCTTTTAGTCGCAAGCCAGGTGGTCTCCGGTTCAGATCTAGAATTTGTAGATCTGCGGATCCAGYTGCTTCCGGCAGAGAGCGAAACCGGTGGGGGAGCAGAGACAGYAGAAGCATCGCCGAAGATGGCTTCGGCATTCACAAATCCCAACGATACTTCCATGAGAATCGTAATTGACGGAASCATGACCTATTTCCACGAAGTCGGGGAAGAAGGGGGCGAGCATAGCGTTCTGTCACTGGAGGACAAGATGAGCCACACACTAGCTGTKTAYTTTTCCTTCTGGAGCACAGACGAGGTGGTCGACACGATGTCAGAATACGGATTCCAGGATCCTCGCATCGCCGCGGTCCGGGTGGACGACAACGTGATTCTCGTTGCGCAASAAGAAGSCAATGCTTCCGAGGGAGCCRATGCCTCCGGAAACGTCGGCGGCAACGGCCTCGTGATGCCGAACAGCAATGGCGGCAACGGTGGGTTCCGRGACAAGGACGGTGCGGCCCTCGTGTCGTCGGGACACCGAGTGCAATCGGACCGCATGGCAACAGCGGTGGGATCTACACTGCTGTGTGGGCTGTGGGCTATTCTCATTCTATGAGTATGCATCGGAAACTGTGCGGAATGCTCTGTGCTAGGCTTTGGTGCAGAGTGTTGTGTCGGTGGGATGTACTGTTATGGCCGAGGCAACCCTACGAGTAGTGTGTCCAACAACAAAATCCAACAATTCCATTTGCAACCAAAACGCCCTCACTGGACTACACATGGCACGGAAATAGCAACAACTAAATCAAATTTATGTGCTTCGGGGACGACTCATCCGAAATCGGGCTAGGCTTGACCATTTGCTGTAGTATTGTACAAATCAGAAGTAACTAGATTGTGCTGTCGAAGAAACCAGTTACCTGTTATCCTCACAAACTCATAGTAYAGTAGAAAAGACAGGATGGGAGGGKCTCKTTCTYTTTTGCTGTGGAATGGTCACCCCGGCGGGGATTCCGCCCCTTTGGGCCCTGGACCACCACCTTGCAGTCGACCTCTGGTTCAAACGCCGGATCCTGGACTCGGAAACCACCGCTCGGATCGATGGATCAACCAGAAYGAGACACCTGCGTGGCAATGCTTGGGAACGACAGCACCGTCCTCAACGCCAAGATCTTTCTCTAGAGTTGCACCGGAGCCGCTTGCAACGGGATACAGTCGCAGGGCTTCCATGATCACRCCTTGGCACAGAAGAAGCCCGGACTGAGGCAGTGTTGTTGTTGCTTTTTCGATTCCAGGGCTCCCTWGACTTTGTAGCCTCGTGAATATTTMCATTCCTTCGAATTCATCGTAAGCAAATTTTTGCCCAATTAATCGCTCGAAATAGTAGCCGCGAAGAGGCAAACTCTTCCAGATACGGTTGTTCCTTAGTGACTTGTTTGCATGGAAGAAACTCGDTCCACACGGAACATCGTCCTCGTTCATCGGTGTGATGTACCAGCTGCTCTTGTTTCTCTTCAAAGCCAATCCGAAGCATCSAATGGACGGATGGGGTTGCCGCCCTTCCGAAATCGGACGCATCCAAACAATCCATACGAGTCCGAGCTATGCCAGGTTGTCAATATGCACGGCAGAGTAYTCCWCRCTGCTGCTCYGTAACATTCCAAGAACTTATRTCTCTCGACTGACTCGGAGAGTAACCATTGCAAAGTTTTCGACATCCGATCACGACAATCAACTTYGATACCGCTAACATGCCGTGCCATTGAGGGGTGAGGAATCTCAGAACGAAAATATGATGAGATCTCAAAAAGGAACGCTTTCTGTTCACCCTTCGTTCTTGTCGTAACTGGGTGAGGTCTGAATCACGAGTCAACATCCATCCACGAACCAAAAATGGCGCGGCGTTTTTTATTCTATTTTCTATTCTATTTTCTACGACTGACTGACTCGCCGCAAAGATCGGAAAAGAAGACGATCATCCATGGATACAAAAAGTACGATACCGTGACATAGCAATGGAAATGGTGACGTGCAATCCCGCTCCGATTGACCTGAAAGGCCTCCTCGATGGACCTCCGGCAACCATTGCACCCGACAAGGAAGAGGATCAAGGCAGCATTCCGAGCGTCACCGCGCGTTTGTTGGTGGATTGCCGTTGCCACCTCGGCGAATGCGTGCTCTGGGACGACCGCCAGAATGCGGTGCTCTTCGTCAGCATTCTTGACCGAACCTTTCACAAGCTGATTCTATCCGATGACGAGAACACAAAACTGGAATCSTATGAATTCCCCAAGATGATTGGTGCATTCGGCCTTCTGGATGCCTCGAMGGACGACGCTGACAAGCACCACCCGGGGTACATCGTGGCCTGGGAAGATGGATTCCAGCTGTACGATTTGGAGCGAGGAACAGCAATAAGTCCGATGAGCGAGGGGGAGGTCGTGAATGGGCCCGGGCTTCCGAATCGCTTGAACGACGGACGCGTGGACCCGACAGGCAAGCGATTTGTGTGCGGGGGCATGGCTGCCTCGCCGGACCTCCCGTTAAAAGTATACAAGTGCGAATACGATCCGTCTACCCAGGGACTCAAGCATTCCGTCCTCTACGATAAGATTCTGACTACGAATAGCATTTGTTGGTCCTTGTCTGGGGAGGAAATGTACCTCGCGGACTCTCCTTGCAGAAACATCCGGAAACTGGAGTATGACCTGGAGGAAGGAAMGGTTCGCAACGAAAAAATACTTCATTCCAAACGAACCGGCTTCCCTGATGGGTACGTTACCGGTGTTGGTCATCGAGCCATCCATTGCTGACCGTTCAATTGCACGTATTGCTAGCTTTGCTTTCTTCGCTCACTTTTCTTCTACGCGCCTATATTGTTTCGGTGGTCAACGCCGTGTTTGTAACCATGCAAACCATCCGGATATGATCATTTTTCTTGAGCAGATCGGTCGTAGACAGCGAGGGGTTYCTTTGGAATGCAACGTGGCGCCAAGGAGAGGGCACCGGGATGGTGGATCGAATCGATCCAAATACGGGAGATGTGGTGTTTACGGTTCACTTGCCGGACGAAACATCGGAGGCGTCCTGTTGCTGCTTCGGTGGTGAACACCTGGACRTACTGTTCGTAACAAGCGCCTTTGAAAACATCGATCCGAAGACGGAAMCGCACGCCGGCGGCTTATATGCCGTGAAACTTCCGTCCGGCATGAAGGGTTGCCGTGAAAAACGATTCAAAACCAACTGATACAGTATTGCTTTGTTTATGGGTGCATCMTACGAAGTACTTTACGTCATTACTTGTATGCAGATGAGTGTAAAAAATAAAAAGTGATGGTTACGTACAAGTAATAGTATCTTGAAATCTACAATTTACTCTTTGGCTTTGSCAAGACTGCATACATGTGCTCGATCACCTTTTCGAATTTATCCCGTGCCTGCGGTCTCTTCAGCTTGAACGTCGGTGTTAAAAGACCGTCTTCTACGGTAAAAGGTTTRTCCGTGAGATGGATCGCTTTCGGCATTTCGAACCCATGCAAACCGTTTGCTTTCCCGATTTTTTTGATGTCGGCCATGATGACGGACTTGAGCTTGTCGCTCTTACAAATGTCCGACAGAGGGGCCTTGGCCAGTGCCGGTTCTTCCGATGCCTCCAACAGGCTGCGGACCGGTTCCTCGTCCGGAACRATGATCGCGACGAGCGCACTCTGCAGTGAGTCCCCGTACACGAACGCTTGGCCAATAAACAGTGATTGAATGATCACGTTTTCTATCTTTTCGGGTGCCACGTATTCTCCCTGGCTTAGCTTGAAAATGTTTTTCTTTCGATCAATGATTTGYAGGTTTCCGTCCTCCGTCCACAATCCAATGTCACCGCTGTGCAACCAGCCTTCTTCGTCGATTGCCTCCCTAGTTTTCTCWGGCTGTTTGTAGTACCCCTTGAACAGGGTTGGTCCTCGGGTCAGAATCTCTCCCCGACCCTGACAAGGCTGTCCCTTGTGATCCGTATCGGTGTGGAAGTATCCCATTTCGGGCACGTCTGCTAGGACCACTTCGGACGCTGGCATCGGTACTCCGACGTGTCCRGAGGTTGTCATGTCTTCGGGAAGACTGATCGTGCAACACGCAGAATTCTCYGTCTGGCCGTATCCTTCCACTACGGMAATCCCGAGCATGATGCGATAAAAATTCATCACTTTCTTCGACAGAGGTGCAGAACCGCTTATCATCGTGCGCAGGCAGTCCATCCCGAGACCCTTTTTGATCTTGTTAAACAAAAGACGATCGTATACACCATGGGTAAGCTGACCGGTTGCCATCAGGTTTTTGGTTTTGGTGTGCACGGCGGCATCAAACAGTTTCTTTTTCATTCCACCGGCAGCCGCTATGCCCACCTGTATCTTATCGTAGATCTTGTTCAACACACGGGGGGCAGCGGGAAAGACGGTCGGGCGACACGCTTGTAGATCTTCGATCAAAAGCGTCGGATCGCCACGGAAGAAAGCAATCGAGGCGCCGTTCATGTAAACTTGGCACTGCACAATCCTTTCAAAAATGTGGGCCAGGGGCAGGTACGAAAGGTGACGATCGTTTCCCTCGAATTGAAAAACTKYATCCACACCCGCAACTGCCGAAATTAGATTTTCGTGGGTAAGCAGTGCTCCTTTGGGATCACCCGTTGTTCCACTTGTGTAGCAGAACGTAAAAACATCGTTTCCAGAGGGAGGGCGATGCTGGAAACCCTCGGTGTCGATGCGATGGGCMCCCACTAAGCATTTGCGAGACAGCCAGGAAATAGTATCACGGTGATAAACTGTCAGATCAAGAATCTTTTCATGTCATGTCAATCACATCGCACCATTTGGCTTTGCACCGAGACGAACAATTCCAATACACCAKTACTAACTAATACTATACGCTCCGTCCTTCGTCCTGTACGCACCTGCTTCGACCTTGGCAAAGGACAATACCTCGAGACCCGCCTCTCTGGCCATTTCTGCAGCCTCAGCTGTGACCCCATTGACCAAAACAACCACCTTGAAGTCCGGGCACAAACCGTTCTTTTTYACGGCGCACAAGCGTTCCAGCTCGGCACGGGTGGAAACGACCGTCTTTGTCGAGGTTTGCTTCAGGATGAACTCTACCGATTCGGGGCCCAGCGTGTCGTAAAACGGAACTGTTGCATGGCAAAACAAGCGAATGAACATTCRCACCAAACGATAGATAAATAAATAATATCCACCCGTCCAAAGAAAAGGTAYAGAAAGAATGAGTTTTGCGGTTCTTYCMAATATCTTTCGTYGCGAAAATTCTGGGAGCTGGACCCGAGACGACGACAACGATGGAAACATCTGTCGGTCGAAGCAACCCAAACGTCGCGCAGACTCCATTKCATTGCATCGAACCGACCATACAAAGCGCTCGTAAATATYACTCACCGGTTGCCCCCGCAACACAAAAAATGGCTTGCTCCGCAATGAACCACTCCATGCAATTCTTCATGTACAATCCCAGCAGGACCATCTTGTCGTCTCTCGTGGGGGGGACCAAGTCCAGCGTCTCCAATCCCGCCGCAAAGGCGTTGACCCTTGCCAGGACCTCCGTGTACGAGCTATAAATGTACGGKGTTGCAAGCCCATTGACGCTCATYGCGCGAAAGCCGAGGCAGGGCCCCAGCGGGTTTACCTCGTGCCCCCGGCGAAAGCCCTCGTAGAGTGTGCGGCATCCGTGGAAGCCCAGAYTGGGATGCAACCCCTTGATGCCGCGGCGAATGTCGCCMCGCTCGTTCTTGCGGGAGGTYTGCGGGACGATTGTCGACAGCTGCGGTTTCTGCGGCATGGTCTGTTGATGTTTTGGATTGTGAAGTGTAGTACAAGACAAGTACTGTAGTTGGAAGAGTAATGGTACTGGTGCAGTGCGATTTGCCTTGCTCTAGCGAATCCTTTCGTATTATACCGTGCGACACTGTTTGTCGTCTGCTGTTTGCCTTCTGCGTTGACAGTCGTCGCAAGTAAGATCCAAGATAGATACAACACTCCGCGGAGGTAGAAGTTGTTGTTTTTGTTTCACAAAGCAATGTCAATGAACATGGTACGTACCGTATGCGTCCCATTCATGAGAGCGTATCGTATCGTACAGGACCCTACGGTACGAGAGTTCCATTAGTTTGATCTCCTTCCACTTGTACCGGTACCTACGGTTCTGTACAGTACGGTAAGCGTTAGTTATGCTACCGTACCGCACGACTTTGTTTTTAATTTTCAATCAAGCTGCTACCGTAGGAGTAAGCTCGTAAATCTAACCTTAATTTAGAGTTAACCCATACWGTAATAATGCCTTTTAAACCACTGCGTCGAAAAATGTCGCGTCTGAAACATAACGCCCATGAAGTGACTCGTACCGTACCACTAGTGCTGCAGATGGATGACACCAAGGTCCCCCTACCGGTAGCGTAGCGCAAAGTACTTGTACCTTGTACTCGTACTTGTGAGCGGTACGAGTCCACAGCGGAAGGCGAATAGGCCAAACCATTCGAACGCGAGACCAAAATCCTGTACGAGTACGACCAGATCACCAACCACCAAACATGGAGGAAGAAGAAGGAGGCATTGTCAAGCTGGTGAGTGGCGGACAGCAGTGTTAGTGGTGTTTGTTTCCGTGCGCCGGGTTKTGTCCGAGAATCCATCGCGGGACGGAAAATTCTGTGCGTTCCGCAGCGCCTTGTTGCCTTTGCCTTGCCTTTGCCTTGCCTTGCCTTGCGCTGCATCGAGTTTCGGCTGCCCGATCCCTCGGATCCGGTCGCTCTCTGGTTGGTTTTCGCTCACGCTTGCCATCGTTCCCTTCCGCTGCGAACGAATCCACCCATCCATCCATCCATGTATCCATCCAACGCATTGTCTCTTCCGGCCAGGTGAGCAAGGAGGGCGACGTCCACGAGGTTCCGCTGGGCGTGGCCAAGATGTCCACCCTCATCGCCACCACCATCGGCGACGACGATGACGACGACGACGACGATGAGGAGGAACTGATGGACCGCGAGATCCCCCTCCCGAACGTCAAGAGCGAGGTCCTCGCCAAGGTCATCGAATACTGTGTGCACTACACGATGGAAGAACCCATGGAGCCGATCCAGACGCCCCTCAAGTCCTCCAAGATCGAGGACCTGGTGCAGCCCTGGTACGCGGACTTTGTCAAGGTCGAGCARTCGCTCCTCTTCGAGCTGACGACCGCGGCCAATTTTATGGACGTCAAGCCGCTGCTGGATTTGTCGTGCCTCGCGGTCTCGGTCTCGATCAAGGGAAAGACCGCCGCCGAGCTGCGGGACATGTTCAACATCAACGTCTTTAGCCCCGAGGAGGAAGCCCAGGTGCGTTGCGAGAGAGGYGTTGCGTGCAGTGATTGGGCGTGCACCGCTTTTGGTTGGTTGSTTGGTTTGTAGGCCCCGTTCTGTGTTGGGTGCTGCTTGTGTTGTAGCGGAGAGCAGGCTTCGACCTGCGGTGTGATGTCGTCTTGTCTTGTCTCGTTTCGTCTTGTCTCGTCTCGCCATTCCTTGTGCGATGCGGTTTTCTGTCTTGCACTTGATCGGACCGATACCAACCTAACATATGGCTCGTGGCTTTTCATGCGATACCGCAGGTTCGAGAAGAGAGCCAATGGACAAAGAACGATAGCAGCACGAACGAATAGACAAAGAACAAGTCCGGCGGTTGCGGTGGTGATGCATAGGGCGAGTCCAATACATAGATGTTTGTTAGCTGCTTGTATTGTGTGCGCGAAGAAAGCGAAACGCGGGGGGTTTTGCCCTCCGCTAGGAACGAAACGAAACGAAACGGACCAGAGCAGAGCAGTCGTGCGGCGCAACTCGAACGTTTTTATGGGGAGGACGGACGGGGAAGAACGAAAGGCAGGCACGACGGAAGCGAGGCGACCGGGGAAGGAATTCTATTGCTATGGCTACGGCCATGGCAATGGCAACGACCAAAGGCGGGACACCAAACGACCATGGTCGGTTGTAGTATCTAGTAGACCAAACCACAGAATGATTTTCGTAACCATAGCGTAGCTCGTCCCGTCTCGTCTCGTCCCGTCTTGCGACGGAGTGCATGCATTCGTTCTCTTCCCGCAGGCGACGGCTCCGCCAAAGATTTTCTCCGGCGCCCGTGCCACKGGGTCTGCGTGCGCAGCCGCGCTATGGATAAGACAAACTCTACGAATCGAGAACGAAGCCTGTTTTTTTCTTTTTAAATTATTATTGTGTTGCGTTGTTCCCACGAGTTTCGGCCGAGCCCTACCACACCGGCCCGTCTCTCGGGCCAGAGACGCCGACTCCGCCGACTCACCCCAGCCTCCGGCGCTGCTCCTTTGGCTCCAGCTGCCTCGTCTCTTCCCCGGGAGTGACGACGGATCGCTTGTGGCTCTGGGCCCCGCCCGCCGGCGAGTCGGTCGCAGGGTTGGAGGGGTTGTGTGGTTCGTTGGTCGGCGCCGCCGGCGGGCCCCTCCAGAGGCGGCGGTTCCCGTAGACCTTCCATTCCTCCAGGTCCGCCACCGCCTTCGCACCGGAATAGTAGAGCCGCTGCTCCATCTCCGTCAGCTGGCCGAGGTACCCGGAGACGTCGTCGTCGACGTCCCCGCTCCCGGTGGTGCTGCTCCCGCTCTGCGACCAGTCAAAGACCTTGCGGAGGCGCTCCCCGGCGTAGGTCTGCAGAAGGGTCCTCCTGAGGGACCGGGCCTCCTCCGAGACCTGCCGGAGGGCCTGGGTGTGGCGGATCATGGTGTTGCTGCTGTTGCGGGACCGCGGGAGGGAGGCGATGGCCCGGGCGACCTGCGTGGAGCTCTGCTCGATCAGGTGGACCAGCCTCCGGCCCGACAAAAAGAAGCGCTCGTTGCGCCTCCTAGAGAAGCGGGCCGCCCAAAAGGGGAAACGCACACGCCAAAGAGAGAAAAGAAAAACGGTGGCAGGAGGGGGGGGTGAGACCGGGTCGTTTCGCGGAACGCGGCATCCAATGCAATCCAATCCAATCCAATTCAATGCAATCCAATCCAAAGCAATCCAATCCAATCCAAAGCAATCCAATCCAAAGCAAAGCAATCCAATCCAAAGCAAAGCAATCCAATCCAAAGCAATGCAATGCAATCCCGCGATCCGACGCTCCGGGGTACGGTACAAAAGAAAACCTACCTGAGGTTGGCGTCCCCCGGGTCCGCGTCGTAGCGTTCCCGGGCCCTCCGCCCGTAGTGGCGGGGGAGCTGCAACCGGACAAAGCCCAGGGTGGCCCAGGTTTCCACGGCCCACAGGGGGACCTTGATCCGGCTGTTTTCCGGCAGGTACGCGGAGGACCCGCCGGCGTCGTCTTCGGGGSCCTCGTGCTGCTGTGGATGCTGCTTCCGGTGGTGGGCCCCGTCGGGGTCGAGGCCGGCGAGGTGGGAAAACTCAAAGAGGGTGGTGCAGGGGATGAGTTCCTCCTCGGCCAGAATGGCGTCGATGTCGTAGTAGGATTGCTGCGGCATCCTCGAAACGAAACGAAAGGGAACGGAACGAAAGGGAACGGCGGTAGTTTTGGCGTGGGGGACGGCAAGAAGCGCGGGCTGCAGCGAGGAGCTTGGTGGTGGTGGTGGTGCGGTGCAATAGAAGGGAACCGGTGCTCGAACGGCCACTTTGTGGTGGATTCTGTGGCAACGAGTCGATGGGGGGAGGGAGAATGGTCCGGGGTTCCTGTCGCGGAGGAAGAAACAATGATCGCCGCCTCCAACGATCGCGCTTTCGGCCGCGAAACGCTGGGGACGGTGATGGAACGTTGTGGGCGATCTACGGTACCGGTTGTAGGTACTGTACCGTATCGTACCGTACGAGCAACCTTGCGGAACCGGGCGGGTCCGCAATCCGCAAGCGTGGTGCAACCGTTCCGTTTCACTACGTACTTTACCGTACCAGACACACCGCTAGGTTGCGGGTGTGAAATGTTGTTAGGCTCCTTACTGCATGATAATACGTGGGGCATGGCTTCCCTTGGGAGTTTGAAATTTGGCGCGAAGCTACGGCACCTGTATGTGCCTTCCGGGAGGTCATGAACAAAAGGACCACCTAACTTGAGTCGGAGCAGTCGTGGATCCAGTAGCTGAAAGCATCTGGTACTGTACTGTACGAGCGATAGTTGCTCCACTTCCTACCGTACGGCTCGTACGCGTTTTATGTCGTATCTACGGTACTCGTGCCGGTACGTGTTTCCAACAAAGATTGAGCTTATTCCAACYAACTAAGGTCGACCGCGTAACCCAGTCACTAGCTACTCGTGAGTTCTCCTCACAGCTGTTACGGAGCAGGAAATTGCTGGATAGTTTACGATTAGGGTCTACGATTACTATTGGTTCGGATACATCACAGCTTGGGAAGAGGGGGGGGGGCGATGATACGAGTTGCTAATGCGRAGGACGCTGATGCAAGTCACTGATTCCATAACAGTTTATGAGAGTCGATCATGCGGAGKACGCTAATACGAGTTGCTGATTCAATACAAGTAGCGTAACTATACTGTAGTAAGTCCCTCCTTACGAACTTCCATTCACAACGAAAATGCGTCGATAGAGCGGGTAGAATCTCAGACCCCCARGGACTTGACACCGCCCTTGCTCTTCTTGCTCTTCTTCGGCTTATCCTCGTCAGGCTTATCCTCATCAGGCTTCTCTTTGGCACACCACGGGCATCCCTCGCATCTGTTGATAGTACCCTCGACTTCTTTGCCCCAATCACAAGTTGTAGAATCGCAGGAATGGTCGCATTGTAGCTCCACAGGATTACAGAACTCGCAGTCCTCGCACCCYGCGTGTGAGCACATTGTAACCATGCAATAATGGTCGCATCTCCTGGGCCAATTTTTGCACCAGCTGCAACCGGAGCATTCCTCGGCATCGGCACAGACTTGATCGGAACACCAAGGTTGGCATGTCGGGGTTGCTTCGAAAGCGGTACAGAACTCACATGCTGAACATTGGCCGAGAAAACACAACTGAGCACTGCAATAGCTATCGCACAACCTGCATGTTGGGCAGCCGCCGCATTCTTCCGGGGCTGTATGACAATTAAATGGTGCCGGCCAGTGATGATGCAACTCGCCGTCGTAAAATAGGTGCTCCTTGTGGCAATGGGGTTCGCACTATAGATAAACCAAACCAAGGGAAGGAGAATGAATGAATGAATGAGTACGAAAAACAACTCCGCAAGCCTAGAGACATAGGTGCGACACCGTTAACAATCGCAAATGATCCAATCAATTGCAATACTATATACTCACTTTTTTACCAGGCTCAACTTGGCAATAGTCGCATTCGCGACAAAGGCCAATCTCRACGGGCAAATTGCACATGAGAGGCATGCACCAATGATCACAAACTTTGACTGATGATGGGTCTTTACAAAAACTACAACCTGCGCAAGGTGGCATGTCTATGCTGTCACCGGTCCAACCGTCTGTGCATGATYSGGGATTACACCATATTTGACAGTCTTCAGTTGGCTCCGCAGCAATGCCTTGGAGGCCAAAAAGCAGCGCAAGGAGTAGTGCTATTTTCATTGTGGAAAGCATATGCGGAGAAATTATGAGGGTGG